AGCAAAAAAGGAAATATCACGATCCAATAAAAAAAGCAGTGGCAAGCGGTCAGTACATTGGCTTTTTCAGTGGAGTTGAATTTAGTGATCATGCGTATCGTACGCAGTTCAGTGATGATGTCCATGGTACTCCTGTTGTTGTACTGTGGCCAATATTTGAACACCCATGACGGTTGTTTCGCAGTCATATTGTGAATTAACTGAAAGAAAACCATATCAGACATGTACCGATCAGAAAACTGAAGAACAAGGAACCGTGAGCTCACCTCACGAGTTACATCATAGATCTTGTTAATATTCTTGTAAGAGAAATTGGCTATTCCGGTTCCTTCGCCAAGGATTTTGAACATTTCGGAATACTGGACGTCAAACCGTTTGGCCTGTTCATCGTCTTCCGCGTCGACCAGGTCATCGTACTTTTTGCACGCAATCGATGTTGGCTTCGTAAGCTGAAAGCAAGGATGGTGATTTCAGTTTGCGCCTCAAAGATGTTTATTTATTAGCCCAACTAGTGAGGGAGGAGCATTTCAGGGCAGAGTAATAAAAACTTGCGAAACCACTAAAACATTCTTCTGTTACTTATGGTTTCCTTATTTACTTATTTACATATAAACTGCACAGCATAAATATCAAAACAAGTCATATCCACCATTCCCTTTTGGACGCTGGGTTGACCTGTTCCGGTTTCGCACACCCTGGAGCTTCATTACCCTACGAAAATTGAAATTGCTGAAGGTTTTGCGATCTACTTGACCAAAACACCCTTTCGCATACAAAAGTAGACCCCTGGTACTCTTTGTCTCTCGTATTCAGGTGAGTCGTAATGTGTAGTGGAGCCTTTGTTAGCAACACGGATACCTCATCAGATAGTCATTAGAAAAAGCGCGGTTCCTGTGACAAGTTGATAAATACCACTCGTGAATAATAGGAATTCGACTCACATTGATCCCATTTAGGCCAACCCTACAGATCAAAACTTGCGGCCTAGTTTCCTATGGAGAATATGCATCGCTCATGACTTCATGGATGGAGCGTCAGTGACG